AAGTATCTTCAAAAGTTTGAAAGTAGCATCAAAATTTCGACTCGGGCAGAATCGCACGTGTTTTTATTTTCACATGCCCTGTATATAATCATATTTTCCTTCTCTGCAATATGTGTATATGTGTCGCATCTTTTCGAGCGCAAGATATATAGAGTGGAAGAGCATTCGCACATTCCTCTTTCGAGAGAGATGTGCAACTGACTCTTCCACGTTGCCTGCTTCCACAATAATACATGAAGACATTAGTAATATATTCACAAAAATTAATGTGAACAGAATTACTTACGGGCCACACGAAACTCGAATATTTGCAGAAACGCTATTTTTCTCGAATTTTGCAAGCATGAGAGATGAAAGAAATCTCTGACCGAGAAAAGGCTCCACCAGTAATGTGTTATTACACGCAGGAATGAGTATGTATTGCTATATACTTGTAAATCACAACCAATGGAGTATCAATTTATTAACTAGATGTGTGTATATATATATCTTTTTTTTTTTTTTATTTATATACGTATCTAGAGTTGTATTCTTTATATCGAGCGACCAGGCTCGATTATATAAGATTCTCGTGTGTCACGAATTATTTTGTAGCACGTCCGCTGTCTGACAACATTTTTCACGACGTCTTTCTCATCAAGTTAGAACACAGATTGCCTGACTTTGTATACAGCAGAGATAGGGAAGTGTTATTTGAATTTAAAACGACTTTGCAAAACGATTCGCGAAACACACTCATTGAGAATCGAATCGTTAATGATACGTACGTGAATAATGTAATACCGATATAATATACAGTATATAATATAATATCTCTCTCATAAACTACGCATTTGAAATTCCTACCCAAGATATCGGCATTCGAAAATTTCCAACACTATTTTTATGGAACGAGATAAATATTGTAAGAGAAAACCAATAGACACAGGTATGTGAATAACGCAAAAGTAAAGAATACCTCGATATAAACTTAATTTAGTTTGATTTTATTTTATTTTTCTTTTTGCTAGAAAAAAAATGTTAATGTTACGATAAGTTTATTATTTTTGGCACTTATTAATATATTTAAAAAAAAAAAACAGAAGTACAAAAGAATTTTTATTTTTCTTTAAGCTCGAAGTATTAAAAACATATTACGTGTTACATTTTGTAGAAAGTACCGACATATGTGTGTGTGTACCGGTCGTGGTCCTGTGTGTGTTAATCGCACTTTGAATTCCGAATTTTGAACGCGCGAATTCACAAAGATATGACACGATTGAATTTTTGTAACGGTAAATTTTACATAATTCCAGAAGTCACTGCATAAAATTCCATCTAAACAAGAATGATGCAAAACGAGCGTTCTAGACGAAGACTTTACGTATACACAGTTTGTCCGGAAAGTTCCCGGACTGATTTTTTCTAGCGCGGGTAAGCGGCGCTATCGAGCGGTCAACGCTGGAACTACTTAGTAT